TTTGTGATAGTATTTAATTTAATATTCAATTAATAATTAAAGGAATAAGTAATAAAGAAATTAAAAATAGTAATTTCATATAAATATTACATGTCAATGTATACCTATTTAATCCAAATAAGTAATATTAAATTGTAATGTTTTCTGAACCGGACAATTTTTGTTGAAAGTTTTGCTTGAAAATTGGGTATAATTTCAAATAATGTTTTTTGCTTAATGTTCATTTTCTCATCAAACTACATTCAAACCAACCTGATATTACATTAGTTCTTGGACAATTGAACTGAAACCTAGGTAATTTACTTAAAAATATGGTTCAGCATATCGCTTATTACCATTATATAAAATTTGGTATTGAAGCAGAACTTAACCAATTAAAATTATGAATGATATATGGTTCGTCATCTATGTTCATATAATTCCATAGCGGAAATTATTGTTCGGCATCTGGGTCATTACAATTGAATAGTAGGCAATAGCATTTTTTTGCTATGTCATATTTATATGTTATGTTTTGGTATACTGAAATCGAAAGAGGGTGTATTATTTATTGGCAAACGACTTACACATACCTAAGATTTGTCGAAATGATAAGTTGTACCTAAAAGGTTTTGAAACGATAAATAGGTACCTTCCGTTATGTTCTGTTAATGATTTTCGTTCGATAATAGTGAAAAGACTAGAATGCCCTTGAAAGTTTGATATTTTAGTTTTTTATAAATATAAAAATTTATAAAAAACCCCCTAGGTTTGCTAATTTGACTAAATACCCCAATATATAAAATTTTTATAAAATAACAAAAACACCCCCGCCACCCGCAGTGCCAGATTCCGGCCACCACCGCCGGAATCTGGTCGAAAAATTGCGTTATCTGACTGGAAAATGCCAGATCGACGCGTTACGACACAGATCCGATGGGTCTGTGTCGTAACGCAATTTTTCGACCAGATTTGGCATTTTTCGACCAGATCAATCACGGATCTTGCCGGAAAATGCCAGTTCTACGCGTTATAACACAGATCCGACGGGTCTGTGTCGTAACACAATTTTCTGGCCAGATCCCGACGATGGTGGTCGGAATCTAGCACTGCGGGTGGTGGAGGTGTTTTGTTATTTTATAAAATTTTTATATATTGGGGTATTTAGTCAAATTAGCAAACCTAAGGGGTTTTTTAGAAATTTTTAAATTTATAAAAAACTAAAATATCAAACTTTCAAGGGCATTTTAGTCTTTTCACTATTGTCAAACGAAAATCACTAACAGAATATGACGGAAGGTACCTATTTATTGTTTCAAAACCTTTTAGATACCAATTTGTTATTTCGTCAAACCTTGGGTATGCACAAGTCGTTCGGCCATTATTTATTTTAATTTATGGTTTGCCAATTGTCTTATTTAAATTTAAAATTATCCATAGGAAAGATAAAAATAATATTAAATGTCGTTTTAATACAATTTTATATTTAATAAGTAGTTAGTGTATTGAATTTGTCAAAACTACTTTTTTTTTTCTAATTATAGTTCACCGACTGTGTTTTGACATGACAATTGATAATTGTTCATATCATAAACTTTTGCAGTCAGTCAGAATTATTTTTTTTTATAAATTAATTGAATTATTTTTAATTATTAATATTGTTATGTTCATTTAATATAAAGGAGCATATCTAATTATTATTAAGTTTGTTTTCCAGTTTTGGTGAAATCATTTTATAATTATATATAGTTTTATATTATGATTTTATTGTTGGGTGTCGTTTTTTAGCTTCAAAATATCTAACGTATTAAAATGATGTTGTTTCATACATTGTTTTAAATAGTTTATCATTTCTTTTAAGTGTGGTTCGAACATAATTGAAAGGGTTTACAGTTATCAAAATCCAATGTATAATATATCAAATTAAATCCTTGTCTATCTAGTTTTCAATGATCCAAACAACTCATCAATCTCAAATTTGTGTGATGATAAAATTAATGGTTCAACAACCGGTCTACAGTTATCAAAATTCATCGTATAATATATCAAATTAAAGCGTTGTTTGTCTAGTTTCCAAATATTCAAACCGCTCATCAATTGAATTTTTATTGAGCAAGTTATAGCCAATTTACTACTGATTGTTCAGTGGAAACCAAGAAACAGGAAAAATCGAAATGTGTGATGATAAAATGAATGGTTCAACAGTAGGTCTACAGTTATCCAAATTTAGTATACAATATATCAAATTAAAGCCCAAAATTTCTTGTTTCCAAAGATTCAAAACACTTATCAATTAGAGTTTTATTGAGCAAGTTATAGCTAATTTACTATTGATTGTTTAGTAGAAACTGAGAAACAGGGAAAACCAAAATGTGTGTGATGATAAACTGAATAGTTCGACAGTGGGCCTATAGTTATCCAAATTCATCATATAATATATTAAAGTAAAGCTCTGTCTATCTAGTTTTCAAATATTCAAAGCGCTCATTAATTAAAGTTTTATTGAGCAAGTTATGGCTAATTTACTACTGATTGTTAATAGAAACCAAGAAACAGGGGAAACCGAAATGTGTGTGATAATAAATTGAATGGTTCGGCAGTGGGCCTACAGTTATCCAAATTCATCATATATATATCAAATTAAAGCCCTGTCTCTCTAGTTTCTAAATATTCAAACCGTTCATCAATTGGAGTTTTATTGAGCAAGTTATGGTCAATTTACTACTGACTGTTCAGTAAAAACCGAAATGTGTGTGATAATAAACTAAATAGTTCGGCAGCGGGTCTACAGTTATCCAAATTCATCATATAATATTTCAAATTAAAGCCCTATCTTCCTAGTTTCCAAAAATTCAACCGTTCATCAATTGAAGTTTTATTGAGCAAGTTATGACTAATTTACTAATGATTGTTCAGTGAAAACCGAGAAACAGGGAAAACCAAAATGTGTGTGATGATAAGTTGAATGGTTTGGCGGTGGGTCTACAGTTATTCGAATTCATCGTATAATATATTAAATTAAATCCTTGTCTGTCTAGCTTCCAAATATTCAAACCGCTCATTAATTAGATTTTTATTGAGTAAGTTATGACCAATTTACTACTGGCTATTCAATGGAAACCGAAATGTGTTTGATGATAAACTGAATGGTTCAGCAATAGGTCTACAATTATTCAAAAAACTTTTAATCAAATTAAATTTGAACTAAAGAAGATTTCAGTTTATTACCATTGTGGATGAAAATATTTTTCAGCAACTTGCTTGCAGAAATTATAATCAACAACAGCATGAAATTAACTTTTCATATAATATTAACTAAAAAGGATATGACAATATTACAATTGTTAATGAATCATTGTTCGGCAACTGGTCTCTTGCAATTATATAGTACAATCTATATAGCTTTGCATCTTTCTTCTTACAATTCAACGGTATGGTTCAGCCAATGGCTACAATTCTATAGTACAATTGTAAACAACTTGATGATCAAAATGGTTCGGCACATATAGCAGAAAAATAATTGATCCAAATAGTTCGCCACATGGATTTTTTTAGTACAACAGTAGACAAATAAATGGTTTAAAATGGTCCGGCCTATGTCTTCTTATAATTGAATAACATAATTACTGGTTCGTCAAATGGATTTGATAATTATGTAGCATAATTTATGGCTCACCATCTGGACTAAAACAATCAAATAGTCAAAACCATAAAATAAATTACATAACCTTTTTAACAAAACTATAAAGCAAACATGATAAGAGTATTACAATACAATAGCAAATAAATTACAACTATGAGAACAAATTTTACGTTTCTAACAAAAAAATATGTAGCAACCATACATAGAAATTAAAGAGGCATATTAAAATGAATACATTACCTTCAACAGCACGCAACTTGCAACTATGAGAACAAATATTATGTTTAAACCAATAGTATATACCTACATCAAATCAAAATAAAAAAGGTTAACAATAAACTTGCAAAAGCAAAAGAAAATAATTACAAATAACAATTAAAATTTAAAATTTGAATACCTCTTTTTCTCTAGATAAATCATGTAACAAATTGTTAATATATCAACGTATATGTAGGATTCAAAGTAATGAATCCTTTCATATTCAATAAAATAAAAATAAATATATCTAACCCTTCATATTAAATACACATAAACATTCTAACTCTTCATATTAATTACACATAAACATTACCACATAACACATACAATTTATCTTTTCTCATTCACCAAATTCAATAATACACCTTATCAATCCCTTAATATTTACATTCATATTAATTATTGTTCAACAAAAACATTGATTCAAATTAAATTTATCAAAAACAGTGAAACATAATAATAAAACATTATAATTATAAAATGTAACTGAAATATTATATATGATAAAGACTCTCGGGGGTCAAGAGGCTTCGGAAATATTCCAACAAATGTTGTATTTATGTAATTAAACTCATCCAACAAACATTTATCATGTTATATTAATATCTATCATTAATATTACCAAATAGCATAAACCAATGACATGCAGACACTCACAACAATTTTAGCTTCTGAGATCATAAATGGCGCTCAAATAGCCTGTGCTTCAAGATTTATATAGATATGCAGATAATGTGGTTTTCTAATTAATAGTGTAATTATAAAGTTCAGCCAAAAGTGCAAAGAATGTTTGGCAGAATATAATATGATTTCTCTCAAACGGTTTCCCGTTCGCCGATGACTGTGCAGCCGATGATCAGGCCACTGGTGGTTAGGAGTAGTGTTTGTTTTCGGATTTGTGATTGAGATTGTGTCGAGTTTGGTAAATATGTGAGTTGCAATGCCGGTGAGTTTAAGCACATGGGTAATAGTCTAATAGAGGATAAAATAGTCAATTCACGCTCCACTTATTTCTTCAGGTATTTATATAATTATAGAAAACACAAGGGTGTCCACTGATAGTTTTTGTAAATTGAGGGTAGGTTTTGAATTAACGCATTGCAATATTTATATGAAAAAAAATAAAACGCCAGCGCCCTGTTTTCTCTTCTGTTTTATTTTTGAAGGACGCCAAGGTTTTGATAAGTTCGTGCCAGTTCTTCTTGTTGAGGTAAGCTCTTTCGGTCAGAATTTTCCTTCATTGAGTTATTTATTGTTGGATTTAGTTGTGTTCATGGATTTTTTTTTTTTTTTTCTGTATTAAGTTAAATTTTGGGTTTTTAGGGTTTGCTGTTCGTTATTCGATTAGGATTAGAATTATTTCATGATTATGATTGGTTTCTTTCTTTCGTCACTATTGACCAAAAAAATGGGTTTTTTGTACTCTGTTGCACGCATTTTCCATCTGAGTTCCCTCTAGTTTTTTCCCCTCTCTCGGTGTTTACCCTATTCTATCCTTCTTTGTTTTCTGTATTCTCTGTATTTCTCTATTTAACAGTTGGTTTTCTATTTTATTTTATTTAAAAGGAGAAAATGGGAGAAAGGAAAGTGCTGAACAAGTATTACCCACCGGATTTTGATCCATCGAAACTGCCCCGGATCCGACGACCAAAGAACCAGCAAATTAAGGTCCGGATGATGTTGCCCATGAGTATCCGGTGCAACACTTGTGGCAATTACATTTACAAAGGCACCAAGTTTAATTCTCGCAAAGAAGATGTCATTGGCGAGGTAACTTTTTATAATATAGTTAATTATCTTCTGATTGTTTGTATAGATTTTAATTTTTTTAAAGTAGTGAATGATTTTGCAGACATATCTTGGAATCCAACTTTTTAGGTTTTACTTCAAATGCACAAGGTGCTCGGCTGAGTTGACTATGAAAACAGATCCGCAAAATTCAGATTATGTGGTGGAGTCTGGTGCAACTCGTAATTTTGAACCTTGGCGTGCTGAGGATGAGGAAGCAGACAAGGAGAAAAAGAAGAGAACTGATGAAGAGACAGGGGATGCAATGAAAGCTCTGGAGAACAAAACATTGGATTCCAAAAGAGAGATGGACATCCTTGCTGCACTTGATGAAATGAAATCTATGAAGGTATATTTTAAAATTTTCACTTTATAGTTAGTATTGGATAATGAAATGAATCTGTGATTGGGTACTGAAATGTTTTCTTTTACGTTTTTTGCAGTCTAGACACGCCACTGTCAGTGTAGATGCAATGCTTGAGGCTTTGCAGAGTACAGCTGCAGAAAAGGTATTGATAGATTATAATCCTATTTCTTAGCATGATTGAGCTATTGCATCATCTTGTATTTGTTGAAAAGATTTGTACTAACTGATGCAGGAACATAATTGTTGCATTAATAATCCTATTTGTGGAGTGTTTTTACAATTTGAGCATTTAATATCTCCTATGGCTTGAGTTGTGTTTTCATTTTAGCCACTGTGAGGCAGTGGAGAACTTCTTGGTTTCTTTTAGTCTCTGCATTTGTAGGGCTATTTTAGAATGTCCTGCCATCTTTTTTGGAAGGCCTGGGCTATCTTGATGTTAGCACCTTTTTCTTCTTTGCTAAATGAAATCTTGTTCTATGTGTAAATTGCCTCAGCTAGTACAAAATTTCTGTGGCTGATAAAAAAAAATAATCATATTGTTAAGCTTCATTATTTTTCCTTTTTCTAGGTGTTTTTCTTTAAACGTGTAATCAATGCCAACTTCTCTTTGGTTGCTATACTCATGCATGATCAACTTTGTTGAATATCGTATTGTTGCATTGGAGTCAACTTCATTATCACTGAATTAAGTATTATTCTTTCAAACAACTCCACAAAAATTTGTGGTATCTCCATTTATTTTCTGCATTGAATGACTCAATTTTTTTATAGCATGAATCTGTAATGATATTAATGCCACTTTTGTCCACTTATGGCACTTCTTTGCATGGAACTACATATGCATTGGAAGAAATGAACACTTAACAGTGAGAGTGAGAGATGAACGAAATATGAGTGTGTACACCCTGAAAAACTGGAAAAATTGGAAGTCGTGAGTTTATGCTTAATTCTTTTACATGCTTGTCATCTCTTTTTTGTTATAAAATCCGTGACCAAATTGGTGGGTTTATGTGATGACAGGAGAAGAAGTTGGAAGAAGAGGATGAAGCCCTTATCAGATCACTATTCCAAGTTAGTATCAGCTTCTTCTCGTGCTAGATTCTTCCTCCTTGTCTCGTTTGTTTCTTTGGTTCTGATTGGTTTCTAATTTGTGTTTGAATGTAGAAACCAAAAGAAATTGTTCGAAGGATTTCTGATGAAGATCTTGATGATGATGGAGATTTTTTTCAGCTTGCAAGTGAAAGCAGTGAAAAATCAAACAATAACTTGAAGGTATGTTGATGAGGTATCTATGGTTTATGCTTTTTGTTAATTATGTTGTAGTTATGAATGAACTTTGAAATTTTAACATCATTTTCGTTCTACTTTAAACTTAACACAATCATGCATACTTAATTCATCAAAATTAACAGGATGGAATAACATCATCTGTGCCATTTAATTATTAAGAGGCGGAACTGATGACATTTACAACCTGTGTAATAAGAGGACTCTGTTTACTCCCAAAATCTAGAAAATAAAATAATACCCTTTTTTTGCTTGATATTCCATTTGAACCAGCTATGCATGCTTCCTACATGCTCAAAGCCTTTTATCTTTTCTCGATGGATTGTGCAGTCTTTTTATCTATATCTTTGTATTTTCTGCTACCATGTGAGTCTTTGTTGGAGTTCTTTCCTCACAAGCAAAGATGGCACATCTTTTTTGCTAATTTTATGTCTTGTATTGGCAAAGTTTTGAAAGTAATCCATGAAATGTAAATTTCTGAGCTCATGCTTTCATGTATGTGCATTGCAGAAGAGAAAGGTTTCTGAAGAAATTCCAAGTAAGCCAACAGATTCTTTAACAGAAGACAGTGTTGACAGCTCCAGCAATAGAGGTATGCCGTGATCATTTCGATAGTCTGTCTTCTTAATAGATATGTTACTTATAAGTCATCATGCACTGGTTATAACAGAGTCATATGAAAAAAAGAGCAGTGGAAACAATTTTTTTACGTGTGTGATTATGTTCAACTGGCATTTTCATCCATCGCTTTTGATAAACTTGCAGGCATGCAATCTTGGCTTCATGCTTAGATTATGTAAACCTAATTTCCATGTATCGATTTTTTGCAAGATTTACACTCTAAAATAATGATACAGAATATGCTTTTACTAGAAACTGACTTTTATGAATGGTAAAAGCTGAAGTAGTATCAACAAGATAGGAATGGGAAAGAAAAGACTAGAAACAGGTGGGGTGGGTGAAATTGTACTTGTAGCATAATATCTTGTATGGTCGACTAGACATTAAGAGAGTCATTTCACCATTTACTAACAAATGTATGGAAATACTTGTGAATGTAAACCAAACATCTATGATCAGTGTTTCAGTTGTTCAGTTCTGTGTGGATTATCCAAATCATTACACTTTTGTTTTACCATTATGGAAATTTAGTTCACAGTGATAGCTACTGACATATTCTTGTTGTGACTGATTTTTAACAGAAACTCCGACTGATTCAGGGAGCCAAGGTGATTCAAAGCTGCCTCGGAAAACTCCTTTGGTTAGGATATCAGTTATCAGAAAACCAACTGTGGCCAGTGACACCAAAGTTGCTGCAAAATCTGAGAGCAAACAACTAGAAAGCACTGGATTGCTATCACTCTGCCAAAACTATGATAGTGATGATGAGTAGTGTAGTTTATTGTACATCAAAACTCTTAACACTTTTCTTGGACTTTGTAAAATTTTTATTGAAATTTGACCGTCAGTCATGAAACCGTGATCTGAACCTATATAAAGATGCCAAGTAATTTTGTTCATGTGTTGCAGCCATAGCAATTAATTTTAAAGGAATATTTGTATGCATAATTCATTTAAGACCAATACAGAAATAGAATGGATTATTGTTTATTTGTTATTCGAATTTATTGTTATCATTTGATTTTCTCTCGTTACCAAAATTTGCTAGCCTCAGTACATTATGCACAATGTATTGGAGAATGAATATGAAGGAAGCATAGAACAGAAAACAAAGCATATTTGCTTTTCAAAGCAATGCATGGCAGCAACAAAATGCCCCATCTATAAGAATTAAGAAGTGGTTTCTGGATTTGCCACAATTCAAGTACAACTTATTGGAATCATCCGTAAGTGTTCAGATCAGTACATAATTTCAAACACTAACTATTAAGAACACGATCTACCAGCACGACACAAAATAGCGAGCAACCATTTCGCTAACATTATCAATACTGAAAAAGGATTTCGACATCACAAAAGAGTGATTCTTGATTATTTGTTACCTTTCCTTTTCCACAAGTCTCCGAACTTTTTAATTCCAGAACCCTTTCGTTTACCACTACCAAAACCATCATCCAAGTCATCTGCCATCCCAGGCGATCCTACAAAGCCGGCATAGCCGCCTGCCAATGGCTCAAACACACCACCAAAGTGCTTATCCATGGATCCACACCTCTCAGGAATCCTCCCATTCATCTCTACACCGCCAGCAAGAACAGCTGCTGCCGCATCTGCTGCTTTTCTCCACTGTTCGGTCTGTACTCTCAGCTTCTTCATCTCCGTTTCTAGTGCCTCTTTCGCTCCTTCCACAGCTTCCAGCTTCTCCTTCAACTTTACCACCTCTTCTTTACTTGCCTTCAACTCTTCTCCAAGTTGGCTCAGGTTCTGTGTCATTTCCTCTTTTTTCACTTCAGCAGTTGAAATCTTCAAGGTAGCCTCATTCACCTGCTGTTTCAGGCTTTCATTTTCTTGACCGATCACCACTAGCTCTTTCTCCTTCTCTTCTAACTTGGATTTTAGCATGGTTATCTCTTCCTTTGCCAGAGATAAGTCATGGTCAGATGCTTTCTCTGGCTCTGGAGTTGCCGGTGGTTCAGTCGATACGTCAATTTGTTTGGTCTCTTTTTCCTCAGAGGTCTGTTGACTGATTTCAACCTTGGGCTCAACTGTTACTTTCTCTACCGGAACTTCAAAAACATCAGTCTCCTGCTCGATTTCATCCTGAAATTCTTCCTGGGGATAGGTTTCTCTTATATTAGCTTCTTCTTGGATTTCACTTGGAGAATGCTGTTTTGCAATCTCCAGAGACTCTCTAGCTTTTGGTTTCTTGATTTTCTTCTCCAGTTCTTCTTGAGCTTCCTTCTTTGCAGCCTCAGCTGATGCCAACTGGTCTTTCAGAACCTTTAGCTCTTCTTGCGCTTGCCCAAGTTGAGATTCCAAATCCGCAATGCGAGTACCAAGTTTCTTCTGGTGTACTGGATCAGAGTGAGGGGCACCTCTTGGCGAGCGACGGTCTCCAAGCTTGGGACTGCGATCAGCAATTGGTCGATGATGTGGTGGATCTGAATCAGAACTTGATGTCCTGAGCTGATGCGGACCTCGAGGAGACTGTCTTTGAGGTACTTCCGATCCCCTATTCCTCATTAAAACAAGACAAAAAAATCAACCAAATATTATTTAGACACTCAATTTACTTGAATCTTATTGACATGCTATTCACATAAACAAACTAAAGTTATATAAAGAGAAGGATTACACTAGTGAGTTGAGTTTTTATTAATGATCTCGCAGAACGGGAAGCAACTCAACAGAAATCACATTCCTGGATGAAATGATAAACAAAGTAATTGTGATAAGATTTGCGTCTCTAACCTTGACCTCGGCATTTTGTAAACCTGAAGATGTATGCAGAAGAAGAGCGATGCAAAGGAATAGATAGTCAGAAGCTTGTAATCTGCAAAATTCAAGGTGCCAAAAGCATCAATATACCAATTAAATCAAAGAAAATGAATGCCACAGAAACATAACAAGAACATCTACTCCATTTAGGCCACCAAGAGTCCCAAAGAGTCTATGATCCTAGATATCTGCAATTGATGAAAGGTCAAAACTCAAGGGCCTGAAACCAACAAAATTATAACTGTTTATGTCCTTTGTCTTGCATGTTCTAAGTCAATACATGCCTATGCAATTCCTAGCAGGTCGATTCACAATTTAATGCAAATTAGGCCTGGCCGCAGCATGTGACTGTAAAAGTACATTTTTAAAATTTCCCACAGAAGCACAGGCTCCCCACAAGCATTGCAATGTGGTTCATTATAAGTTAGGTCATTCCTCATCAACAAAATAGTCAAAGAAGTAACATGTTTGCCATCTCCACCATCTAATGGTCCCTTATGCAAAATTAGAATTGGACATTATACATCCAATGCCCCAAAAGAAAAAGAAAATGAATGTGCAAAATCATTTCAAAATCTTCTGGCGTTCACGCAGAGCAGGAAAGCCATGCAATTCAGCAGAGGGGTTAACATTTACGCTTTCCAAGTGGGTGCATTTGGCCCACCATTTTACTCATTTTAGGCATCAAATTATTCAATAATTGAAAGCAAAACTTCACTTTAGTTTTGTGGTAAAATTTGAAGCAAACCCACTTCCATCTTTTTCACATAATGAATTACTTTCATATTGCTGATCAAATCATGACTGCAAAACAATGTGAAAAACAGAAAAAATACAACACCTCTAGGAAATCCCAGTAACATTACCGGGATCAACGAGGTTAGTAACATACAATGCGAGATTGATAAATGTTATCAATATTACTTGGCCAGTAGGATAATGTTCCCCCAAAATATATCTTCAAACTTTACCAAAACTTGTCTACAAGGACCCAAAAATACCAAAATCCAATAAAATCCGAAATGAAAACTTCAAGGAAATCACTTTTGCCAAGCCTCCATGTGTTTATATTTCTCAAGAGCTTTTCTGGGGCAGTGTAAAAAAGCACTTTTCTTGTTCCATCATATATCAAACTGTGGGCATTTTCTTAAAGCTCTAATAAAATAACTTTTTTTGTCACCGATATTTTCAAATTCACAAGGGCACTTATGATATTCCACTCAGTTTTTCCATTATTTCAGCTTTTGCTGACAAGTTTAAAAGTAGTGGATGATATAAAAGGAGCAGAGACAGAGGCAGGCAGGCATGTTTTACACAAGTACAAAAATCAGCCTCAGGAAGAAGGAAAGATATATCTCTCCACGCGCCACCACGCGCGTGGTATTGTATCATAGAAATTTGCTAAATTTGTATGTATTTGTACATACGAGACAACCATAGACAACAACAAAATTATTGTGTATTCAATCAATTGGTTATTCAAACGAAAAATATAAAATAAAAATTCAAACAGATCAATGGTCAAGAATCACCATATTTGAGGAGATTGAAATGGATCAACCATTGATAGTCGTAAAAAATAATGAAAAATATTAAATGGGTTAGATCTTAAATAAATAAATATAAGTCTCAACTGTATTTTGAGACCTTGCTGATGATGAAGTGTTTGGTAGCTGAGAAAAGAAAAGAAGAGGCAAGAGAAAGTGATGAGATTTTAACTTCAAGAACATCTTGCACTCTCATTTTCAACAATAAAAAAGATCACACCACAAGAAAACTAGCAATGCCGGACAACAAGCATGCATAAATAACAGCGAAAAAATAAAACAATGCAAGAGAAAAAAGAAGAAGAAAATCAATAAAAGAAACTTCTTTTTCACCTCACCTTGTTATCTGAAACTGAGAGCTTTAGCTTGAGCTACACATATTCTTCATCTATGATGAATTTATGAGAAACCCTTTTGAGAAAAATGCAAGAGAATCAATGGAGAAGAAGAAAGGTAAAATCTTTTTTTTTTCACAATAAGTAATGGGGATGGAGATGGAGATAGAGATAGAAAGAGAAGTGAGGTGAAAAGTTTGAAACTTAGAAATAAAGCTGGTGGGATTTTGAGTGTTGCGGGTGAGGGTGAGGGTGAGGGTGAGGGTGATGGTAGTGCAGGAGAGGACAAAAGAGTAATTTAAAAAATGGGGGTAAGTAAATTAATTTAATGTTAAATCTTGAAAATACAACCTGTGTAACAATGGACTCTTGTCTTTTTGTCAGATTATCTCTCTAAATTCAAACTCTTTTTTCTAATTTCGAACACTTTCCTCCTGTTCCAATAAACACTACAGTGCGTGCAATTTTTCAACTTTAAATATTGTTTCAAATTTATTTGTATTTTCAAATTTTAATATCTTTAACTTATGCATCGTAATCTACATTATAGATTTAATTAACTTTTGTTTGGTGTATAAATAGACTCGGAAACGGACGTGTATATTCATCTAATCATAATAGGTTATATTTAAACTCTTTCAATCATAACATGTTATATCAATGTATGTAACAGCTCGTATTTTATAATTGGACAGATCCATGTTTGTTCATGTAGCGATAGATTTTATTCGAAAATGAATGAATTTGTGAGCATGTCTTACTACATGATATGATCTAGGGGTGGTAAAATTCAGTGTTTTAAAACTTGACCTAGCCCGACCGGTTAAACCGGTTTAATTGAAACCTAGGACCTTCATCGACTTGGGTTGACAATTTCTCTATTCACCGAAAATCCTAGAATTTGAGATGATGATCGATGAACAATTGAAGGTCGGGGTGTTAGGGTTTTTGAAGAGAAAGTGCCGATGAGTGTAATGGTAGCGATGGAATTGATTTTTAGTGAATTAATCTATTGAAAATCGAAAAATAATCGATGGCAACAACAGTCAGCTTTTGTCGGCGATTGGTGAGATGAACGGGGGTGGGGTGAGATGAGTTTTGGTCAGGAGGTTGAGGGGAATATTTTCGTGGTGATGGGGAGGGTTGTCAACGCCAGCGGTGGTGAGATCTAGCCGAAATCAGTTGACGCTAGCATTAGGTAGATCTGGCAAAAATCGATCAATTTTTTACCAGATCTTAGATAGATTTTCTAGGGTATGGGCTCAAGGGATGATTGTGATTGCATTTTGTGTGTCGCCGCCACCAACTAGTCGACAACCGATTTGTATTTGGGGTGTGTTTGCTAAATTTTAAACCTATAGGGACTTAACTGGGATTTTTAAGGTTGAATTTGTTAAATTTATTAAAAAAAAAAAATTACCCTGTTTGACTGGCTGATCAAACTGGTTAAATCAATCAACCCAGGACCCGACAACTTTGTTAGGTTTCTTCTCGGGTTGGTTATTAAAACATTGGTAAAATTGATTGATGTGTCGAGTTTGAGTATTGTCACATAGAGGAGTAGAATGTGATTATTCATGAATATGACAAGAATATATAGCACATAAACTGTTTAATAAACAGCTTGTACTTGTATTGCAACACAACTTAACCTATTTATGACATGTTTAACTCATAAACATGAGATAAACTGTTTAATAAATGGCTCGTACTTGTATTGCAACACAACTTAACCTATTTTTTAACTTGTTTATCTCGTGTTTAATTTGTTTAACCAATTTATTAATCATGTCGTACTTATGTCATAAATGATTAATCGTGTCATAATCGATTAATAATCATATCAAAAATGGGTTGTGTAACCTTATTAACTATTTGTGTAACTTAACATGTTTGTAGGTATTGGAACTTATCAACCAAGATACAATTGAGTTGTACGAATTCGTGTATTATTGGTTGATTTTGTTAAAAATTACCCCTCCTAGTATGATCTATGTTCTTTCTTCTTAAGATTTGATAGAGATACAACCATCTTACATTAAATTTGGTGCATAAATCTTATAAATTACTCAAACCAATTAATATCTCAAGTGATAGTATATATGCTGTTATTTATTTATTTATTTTACAGCTCTACATAGTAAAAGTTTAAAATCAATAGATTCGCTTCAATTTTACTCCAAATTCTGGGAATGCTCAATAATATTGAAAAGTTATTGTTAATTAATTGAGTAGGGCAACAAATGCAAAAGATCATTAAAACTTTTATACTTTTGTTTGACTTGAATGCCCCTACCTTTTGATTATTGTTCTTCTAAGGATTATATGTATTCATTAATTAAATCATCTCCACTCATTCATTAATATATTTTTTGCCATTTCTTCTTCTTTTACTTATTTATTTTATTTAAACAATAACTATTTATTTGTATTAATATATTAGGATTTGATGATCGTAAAAAGATGTAACTATATTAAATATTAAATAGTTGATTCAATAACTTGATGAGATCAATATTAATTATTGGAATATGATTAAAAGGTTTAAGTATCAACTTTCAAACCATAATCCAATGATAAAAAAACATTATGCAACAAGGAAATACAAACCCCTAATAATGTTATACCTAATTTAGGTTCTTCAATGATAAGAGTTACTATAAGGCCCAACGGCATCTTCCCACCCAAAGTTTGCCCTAAAGACAATTTCATATCCAAAAAGTTTCAAAACAATGGTTTCCACATACCATTAAAATCTGTTAGTAAAATATGTTACCTGATATTGTGCAATAACTGTAAACACAAAAATACTCTCTCGTCTTTGAATCCAAATCTCAAATCTTATTTGACCAGAATCGCACTCCGACGAGCTAACGTGTGGGACGTGCGTGCAGGGAGTTGGTTGGGGCAAAAAAGTAAACAAGTAGCAGGCATTTTCAAAACCATAAAAATTTTTGTCGCTAGCGATAGGGAAATGGCCGGGGAAATTTTACAATCAGTCAACAACAAACTCAAACTCCAAAACAACAATCAATTATGTCCAAACAACTCCACAATTACTCCAATCAAAATCCCAATCACAATTATCGCTCAAAAACCCTAGGTCGTATCGATGATGATTGGAGAACAATCTTGGCCAAGGATGTTTGGGGATTTTGTAAAAGGGAGGCCTGTAAAGCTCAGGGTGGCGATATGTTGGATTTTAAAGGTCGAGATCGATCAGAATTCGGCCTAAGAAGGTCGATCGCATGAAGCACAAAACACGTGATTGTCGTCGGTTTGTGAGGCCGACGGGATGGGTGGTATAAAGGTTTTGGTATGGGAGGTTCAAGGAATCAGATGGTGGTGGCGAGGATCGTTACGATGCCAGAATCAGCCGGTGGGCATGAAATGACAGTCATGTGGTTGGTTGCGAAGAGGTGAAAATCTGGCCAAAAAACAGTCGGTAAGGCTATGTAAGTGTGTAATCTGGGTTACGGTG